ATTTATAAAAATGATTATATTTACAATATCCCTAAGTTAAACTATTAATTATTAACTAATATTTTCGTTAAGAAAAAATAATATAAAAGAACATTTATGAATTTTTTCTTCATATGTAATAAGGTATAGTTCGATAGATGAAATTTTGAATTTTTGTTTTCTTTTGTTTTTTAGAAGAAAGTATATGTTACAACTCATCCTGGGCTCCAAGTGTGTATCTCAAGAACTCAAAAAATTCGATTGACGTTTTCACGAAAATAACTGCGGCAGGGTCCAACACTACCTATCAATTTTTTTCGACGGGGAAGGGAAAATTGATGAAATTAACTTCATAAAATTTCATTGAGTCTGCGGTGTAATGTGCAATGAATGGGAATGGTTTTAAAAAAATTATTGTTGTTGCTATTTTTGACGGGTATTTCTCCAGTATATTTTGTATTAGAAATCAAGAAGATCACACATCTGCTGGTCTTCAATCGTGTTGTGTGGCCTGGCTGTAATATTGCGTCCTTCATAGACCTGCACTGCAAGTCGCAAAACGTTGACAGCGTTCCACAGTGCATTGAAAGATCTGGTAATCACAATGTCACTAAAACACCTCCTCTACTACGCGCAAACAACAATAGTTAAGCTTCTAGCTCCGCGGAGACTAATCTTTCACTGCCCTATCAGCGCCTGGCCCACGCCCTCCACTGCAATGTACCAGTGAATGGCGCGCTACTGTCACGTGCATGCGCGGTGGAGCGAATTTTAAATATACATACCAACTTTGAGCATTTTTTCGCACCCTTGCACAGCGTATCAGCAGCTAAAATTTTGTGTACAATCATTACTAGATGGGCTCTGTAGATGAGCAAAATTTTAGGTGAGGTTTCGGCATGACCAACCTAACCATTCCCTAGTAACAGTATAAAGATGAATAATACAAGCAGAAAAGTATGGCTACTCAGCAAGTTATTGATATTTAAGAGAAGTATACCAACTTTGTGAGTAGCCTGTCAAATTCAGGTCTGTGTAGTGGCTGTCATATTGAGGGGGAAAATTAGGGCGGATACCTTGAAAACATGTTAGGTTAAACACATATATATATTGCACAGAGATTTTATATATTTTGTAAATTTGCATGATATTGTATTTTGTAAAGTAGATGATGGTTTATTATAAAGTATTGTGAGCTTATATTCCCTGTTCAAGCAGTTACTGGAAAAAAACAGGAGGCCAAGTTCATGTGACGATCATATCCGAAACGTTTGTTTCTTTTGGAGCCAGGTTAGGTCAATCAGTATAGTAACTGAATACGTACTGGACGACAGGGCTTTGATTCCCGACAGCGGTAGAAAATTTTTCGCTATTTTCTGAGTTCCTACCGGCTCTGGAGCCCACCCAGCAACATCTGCAATGTATACCGGGGTATTTCCCAGGGGTAAAATCTGCCAAGGCGTGACGCAGACTACTCACACCTACGTAGTTCCTAGGTCAAGAATGAACAGGAGGTATACTATCTCTGCCCCCAGCCACCTACATGCCGTGGGGGGAGTATTTTGTTAATGTTCCTTTTTGGTTATGTTTTTGCAGCTATTTTGTTTCGAAATTATATAGATTTATCCAAAGTAACCTAACCTTTAGCCTAACAAGTGAGCTGTGTTTCTTAACAGCATTTCTTCACAATCTGTGCTTTCTGGAAAGATTTCCTGGTCAGGAAACAATCGCCAATGGTTAAATATTTACTGTAATCCCCTGATCTCCTCATTCCCCCAGTACGTATTTTTAGTGTTACTAGAACTAAAACCGTCCTTGAAAGTGTCTATTTTGTGTAATTCGAAGACATTTAGAGAAATCTGGCGGCAGTATTCAAATTAATTATGGAAAGTGATTTCCAGTAATGTTTTCAGGCGTGGTAGAAACGTCAGAATCCGTTTGTAACTTTATAAGACGAGTATGATAATTTTAATATGATTATACACAGAGATTAGTGTACATATTTAGAATCCGTACAGTTTTTTAGTCTTTCAGGCCTAGTATAATGTAATTTCAATTGTAGGCTTTGCAACTTAACGCCGTACCATTTCTACTGCTTGTTGTTAATTCTCTGGGAATAAAATCCGGAAAGGAACCCTCAGTAACATCTTGTTAAACAGTCCCCTCAAGTACTGATCCCATCCCTCTGCTGCGTAGGGAAGTAACTCCTTGTAAAGCGGCCGCCAGTAGAGGTTGACGAACTGCAAGGCGGCTTCATCTGTAAAATGTTAGTTCAATGTCATAAATTAGTAATGAGGGTGTCTACGTGAAATAGCCAGCGAAAATGTGGATAAGGACGTAGCTACGTTGTTTCATGGATGGCAAAATATATACGGTCATTTAATAGTATTCCACAATATACAATGACCTACCTTTTTGCCGAAGATATGTACGAACTGCATAAAATATTAATTTCGAAACATGCTTACTGTATATTCGTAAAAATAATTACAACCAGGCGTGAATAAAACGTTCTACATCTAAAATTTAAAATTTTCCAGTCTTCATATAACTATTAATAAGGTCGGGACTTCAGGTTCTTTCAGTAGTCACTGACAGAAAATTCATTACCCAACCTTAAATTCAATTAAGTTCTTCATTATTAGTGTGCTGCATCGCAGTCAGAAGGTCAATTACAAATACGTCACAAGAGGAGAACACAAGAAGAGAGGAATGAAAACAAACAGGTAATAAAAGAGATTATAAAAAAAATACACGAGTTTAGGGGATATTTATACACAAAGGCAAATTTCTACTAAATATATAAATATGTTTAATCACAATAAACAAAGTCGATTAGATTGAAATTATTAGTAAATATGCAAATTAAAGAAAGTACTAAAACAGAGAATTTACATAATTAGAATAATGATATTCATTTAGTCAATTACGAGTAGAGAAGGAGAGAAGGGAGAAATATGCAGGGGAGACCACAGCAGATCGGGGAACTTAATTTTTGGAGGCATGTGGAAGGGACAATAATAAAGATAAACACATGGAGAAAACATGTGTGGATTTATTGTCTATTTGAGATTTATAATCATTTATTAGTTTAGTTCTAAGAGTTGTAGTTTTTTAAACATTAATTTCTATAGAAGAATGTAACTTGCCCCATTTTTCCCCGTACCCAGGGCAAGAATGTGTATGGTTGATATAAGTTTGAACAGTTGCAAGAAGACACAGATTATCTACTACTTATGACGTAGGATATAAAAATGATGTAATACAATTTAAAATGACGTAACTTTACATATTTGAAGTCTACTTAAGCCTAATGCAAACGGCACACGTGTGCATCTGTTCATCATCGTGACTACCAACACCTGATTATGAGATATGGGCCCATTTCAAGGAAGACGAATACCGGATCCACCCTTCAGTAGACTGCGAATAGACATCGTCACTTTACAGGCACTTGTCAATTAATCCTCTTCTCTGGGTACCCCATTCTGCCCTACCCCATCATCCCCCGAGTATACTATTTCAAATTTGGATTTTCCCACCAAAAATAACATCATGAAAATAAATATATATATTGTGTTTAAGACTTTCAAGAAAACACCTTGTAACATGCATCATTCAAAAAAGTGGGTATGAATAATAAAAAGAACTTACATTCACTGGAAGTTGAGAGAAAATTGTAAAATGTAGGTGCAAAATCCAGCATGGGTGATTAATTCAGAAACTGCAACCACAAAATGGCGCTGACTGACATGACATGATCCTGTGCTGTATGCTAATGATATTTCACCCGGTCCCGATAGATTGCAACGCATTGCAGACAAAGTAAAGCCGATATCCTGTTCTGCCCTGGTCTCTCCTATGGAATCACTAACATCATTCAACCCTCCGATAACTTAAACAGATTAAGTTTTCCACAACTTCTTCTGTAATTTTAATTATTTTCATTCCATGCGTCTCTAAACTGATTTATTTGCACGTTTTTTTTCCTCAAAAATTAAGGTTGCATCGAGTTCTTTTATTCACCCCCTCACATCATTTGATTGTACGTAAAAAATAAATGCATGTAAATAGACAGAATTTAAAATGCTATGTTAGCTGCTACCAAGAGTATGATGAACTCTTCTTTGACTACCTCGTCCTCAGGGTTCTGTACCCTGCGGGCGAGAACGAAGATTGTTCTCGAAACGTTGGTGTTTTCTTCAATAAACCACCGTGAGTGCATCAGATCATAGATCATCAAGAGTATGACGAGGATCTCACGACGGAAAGTACTAAATTTCATTCGTGTCTTGTGCTATTCCGCACCCCGGCCTGCGTATTTATTGTACACCCTGGTTGCATACGTTCACCGCACAACACCCGCGGCGGAGAAGTTGCCGCCCGTTCACGGCGATGCAGAATTTCCACACAGCACTTCTCACGAAGCTACGAATTTCAATACTTCTGACTCTAAAATCTGTGGTTTCATTTATTCGGTGCATAAAAAGATTCATCAACTACAGAGAATATATATCGTTGTATCATCTTCTGTGTTTTATGATTTATTTAAGGACTCTTTCTACTGCTTAGACTATGTTGCATCAATTAAAGAAATTTTGTCGAAAAATGAATTTTGAAAAAAGTGGAAGAAAGTGGTACTGGTCTAATTTAAGGAATTTTCCCGACATGTCAGGTGACACTGAGCAAAACGACAAGATAGGCACCGGGTGTCCGGTTTTCGTGTGTCGATTAGAACCAGGGACCTTCCGAATACGAGATTGGAATACTAACCAATCACCTGGTTGGTCGGTACATGTGAATAAACCAAGTATTTATTTACTTGTCTTTTGCAGACTTCTGGAATGTAACTCTGTGTAGACTTATACATGGTTATCACCGTTTCGGAGCAAGGTATCGCCTTCATCTTCTGCTCAAATTTTAACCCTGAAGATGGAGGCGTTACATTTTTCCGAAATGTTATTAACCACCCACAAAACTACATGGCATCAGAGCACAGACGTGACGCCATATTTACCACCATCAGAATCTTAATTTCAAATAGTGAGTAATGCCATGAGTAACTTTTATATCATAGTACAGTAAAACAAAGAACACAACCAATTTATTACCCAGTAATCTGTAGTGAATAACGACTAAAACCTGCGTTTTCCATAATCATAAAAAAATAAAAAGATTATAAAATCTTGATAATCATTTTAGCATTTTAAATTTTATACAAATTAATAAGTTATAAATATTTTAATACATGGTTATCATTATTTCTTCACATCATGGAGGAGATCCTTAGTGTAATGGCATAGAAGGTTGGAGTTAGACCTGATGATGGTCACATTGGTTCGAAACATGTTGTTGAAGTGAACAGATAATGGACACAATGTGTGAAAAGTAACGGGCAGAAAAAACAAAAGGAATCTGAGTCCGGTTTGCAGCTTTGGAAGTCCGACATGATAATGTGCACTTCAAAAGGTTTTTGGTAAATATTAAATATCAACATTTCCGCTAAACTGATTCTGCATCTTCATGATTTAAAGCGGAACCATGGTTTGACGAAGAATATTCAAAATAATTACATTTATGGAAGCAGGCTAAACTGCAATGGTTGCAGAATCCAAGCCAAACTAGCAGAATTTTCAAAACCAAGGACCAAATTAACCATTTAATGCCAAATCTCGTCCCTGTGATATTAAAGATTTAAGTCCATACTTTAAAGGAAACTCAACCTATAACAATTACAAAGATGAATCAATTAATACTGTTTACGAAAACAATCGCTGTTTATTTTCAGTGTCATACGAAATCCATTAACACAAAATGCAGAATTACTAACTGTTTAAGCAGGTGGTACATATACTTACTGCAGGGCTCTAAACGGTTATTGAGCTTGAAACAAATAACAAGAATAAAAATATTATAGATCTGTATAGAGGAATAAGGAATTGCAGAAGGGCTACAAACCTAGAACTTAGTGAAAGTTGGGAATGGTGATCTGATTGTCGATTCCTACAGTGTTTTGTATAGCGTAATAATAATTCCTGCCGTCTATTGAATGTACATTGGATTAGTTAAGTTACTCAGACTAAAATGCATACAGTCGTTAGTGCCTTAACTTTGTTCCTCGAGATTAAGATTGCTATTAAAAAAGTGATAGGATATGAAAACTAGCAATTGAAAAAACTGTGGCAGACGTGATTTATGCAGGCTCTGAGATACACTAATTTGTTAACTCTGTATGTAATAAAGAATTATCGGAGCGGTGTAAGGAATCTACTATTGTGCTCGTATATATTTATAAGAAGGGCTATGAAACTGAACGCAGTAATCGTGAACTACACGCAAAATTTTATCAAACATTCTTCTGTCACTATTAACTCGTACAGTAGACAAAATTATTGTAGATAATCAGTATGGATTTCGATGTAATCGATCAACTGCTGATTAGGTATGCTGCATTAGTTAGGAAATAAACTGAAATAGAAGTATAGTGGGGCTGTACAGGTACTTTTTATGAACTTCACAAACGTATTGTTTATTTAATAGGGAAGTATTGTGTAAGACTCTCATTGTACTCGGTACACCAGTGAAATTTGTTTGGCAAATTAAAATATTTTTGATTGAAACCTACAGTAATGTCCGTATAGGCAAATATTTGTCTACCGATTTTCCCATCGAAAGTGGTCTCAAACAAGGAGATGTTTTATCTCGGTTGCTTTCAAATTTTCCTTTAGAATACGTCATTAGAAAGATCGAAGAAACAAAAAATGGAATGAAATTAAACAGGACACAACAAATTCTGGTTTTTGCTGCTGATGATGCTAATTTATTGGGCAAACACACAAAAATAAAATACACAAACTCTGTTAGATGCTAATAAAAAATTGATTTACAGGTAAGAGGAGAGAAACAAAAGTGCATGTTCATGTCTTGTTACCAAACTGCAGGGTAATGTCATCGTACAGAGGTACCTAAATAAATACATTGAAACGTGGCAATTTTCAAGTATTTGGAAACGACGTTAATAAATTAGAACTGCAGCCACGAGAATGTTATGTGCAGATTAATTTCGTGGAATGCTTGCTGCCGCACAGTTCAGAATTCTTTGTCTTACTCTCTGTTATCTTAAGACGCAAAGATTAAAATTTACAAAGTTGTCTAACTTCAATATTCCTGACTGGAAAACATTGTTTTTTAGTACAAAGATACTTCCCACACATATTTGTTACCGTTTGCAGTATCATTATTAATTTATGTGGTTTG